TTGTTCTCAAACCAGTACCATCTTTACCAGCAGGGGACTTAATCAAAGTGCACATTCCCAGGTCCCTCCAGACCCGCGGACTCGGAGCCTCTGGTGTGAGGCCCAACAGGCTCACCCTCTCCAATGCTCAGGGTGATTCTGCAGCAGTATCCAGCATCTCGAGGCTCGTTCTTAGCCTTTTTGGTCAGTTCTCAACTGATTTTTCAGGACTCAATATTACTTTGCATCTGAATTTATTCAGTCACTTTTTGGGGTAGGAAAAAAACTCATGCCATCAGAGTGCAAAGCTAACTTTGTACTTTGAAGCTCATTACTTGAAATATAAATTGGGGGACAGACATATTCATTCGTGATAAAATGATGTCCGTATTGTACTGATTGTTCCACAAAACAGCTCCGTATCACATACGGTTTTGCGCTTGTCTGTTTTTTGTTGTCTCCCCACAACAGAAAGAAAAGTTAATTCTAGAGTATCAAGAAAAAGCCAACAGACTCCAGAGTCGTCTAACACAGGCCGAACAGAGAGCCGCTTCTGTGTCACAGCAGGTAGGGAGCATCGCGTGGTCTACGTGGATCAGAAAGCAAGTTTCCTTAGAGATTCACGTAAAACTAATGTTTACATTTATTTAATTAAACTGTTTTAAAATAGTTCCATATTCGAGATTGGGAAATTAAACATCAGAAACAAGCAGCCTTGTTCTTCTTCAAATTGACACCTTACTCTAGAGCTGTATTGTCCAGTATGGTACGCATTGACTACAGGTGGCTATTTAAATTAATAAAATTTTTTAAAAATTAAAAATATAGGTTTTTTTGTCTCCCCAGCCACATTTCAAATATATGTCTACCATATATTTGGAAAACAGATGTCAAACCTTTCTCTCATTAAAAATGTTATTGGACAGCACTGCTCTAGAATTGTGTCTAAAGTGAGGCATTGACAGACTTAAAAGTAGATAACATGTTCATTTTAGCTTTTAAATTAAAAAATGACTTGGCTTACAGGTTAATAATTTCATTGAATATACTTTTACATATACTCATATCAATCTAAAATACCATGTAAATGGGAACCAGAGTAGAAAATGCAGACTACCAGTTTGCACTCGGGAGTACAAACAGCATATAAATGAGATGACCGGGATTGGGTCCTAGCTTGGATGGTGTGGCTGCCCATTTCCCATCTCTCTTTTCTCTTTGCCACATATGCCAAATGAAATCTTGTTTTTC